CTGGTGAAAGAACACTCTTCTCAAAATATACCAATGACCCATAGCAGGCTAGATAATCAGTTACAAGGACATAGACTGTATGTTTTGAAAAATACCCATCATAGAACTTATGACTATACTGTTGAAAGTTAATAATCACAAAGAGAAGGCTGGTGAAAGAACACTCTTCTCAAAATATACCAATGACCCATAGCAGGCTAGATAATCAGTTACAAGGACATAGACTGTATGTTTTGAAAAATACCCATCATAGAACTTATGACTATACTGTTGAAAGTTAATAATCTTAGAGTCCATTTACTTTTTCACCCATACTTCCTATAATATAAATACTAAATGGCTACAAAAGAGAAAAACTGGTTTAGAAAAAAATAACACAATTAAGTAAATGAAGATCCCAATCTTTTTAATTTTATCTATTACTGTTTTACATGAAACATTTGTCACTTTTATGAATTGGTTTTGACAGCCACAGACATATTACAGTTATTTAATTTGCTAACCACAATTACATCAAAATAACATAGCAAAGATCCCACAGATACAGCAGATGTTAGATATGTCCTTATAGGAAGTCCTGAAGCTTGACAAACAAAGATAAGAGATACAGTTATAAAAAGAACAATCTAAATGATTCATATGCAATATCAAATGTTCAAAACATACTAAAGTTTCATTTTGTAAGAAAAATTCAACCACTGTTTTAAATTTTGTTTGCAAGTGGAATATATTATCTACACAGAATTTTTGAAAAATATTTGTATTGATTAACATTTAAACACTAAAATGAGACTTGAAGTTAATATGATAGTTTGTTCATTTCAAAATAGTGGAGTTTGTCCATCACTCTTATAGAACACCCATCGTTCCAATGTGTGGAATGGATTTTTGTGGCAAGGAAATCAAAGTATTAACCCTCAGTCCAGACACTCTAACCACTAAGACACGTGCCCACCCAAAGATATCAAGGAAACACCTAATATTTTCTCCCAAAAGTTATAATTTTTGTTAATTGTAGATATATCCCCTAAAATTATTTCTGAACAACAAGCTGAGGTACCCGTACTTTGTCTGGGTTATGAACTAAAAAAATGTTGGGATATATGCTATGAAAAGTAACACCAAAATCTTAACTTTTACACAATATATTTATAACATAACACATCATTATAGTATTCATTATTACCTCATCAAAAGTTCTGTATAAAAATTCAATATGTATATACTTAAAACATGGTATACACTGTGTGATGGTCAGGGTGGCTTTGTAGGAAGACTTAGCATTAATGTCCTTCCACAGTATTTCACATGATTAATTAATTTACAATCATTAGCTGAAGAAGTGTCTTATGGGCTGAAGTTGAAAGGTCTTGGGTCAAAGTAGGAAGTTAGTATAGCTCAAGAAATGGCCCTTCACATCAGCTTTATTGTGGCTGTTGGAGTAGAAACTTCAGCTGAGTTCATGTATTATTGCAATAGTCATGGCCATTTTTTTCATTGCATTCCCCCATAGAGAGGGATAGCACACTCTTTGAGATATACGAGACATTTGTGTGCCCTCTCCCTACATTGTGTTACAGAAAATTTAATAAAGTTCTTTTTTTTTGGTGTAAGAATGTGGCATCATCTATTAATGTAGTTAATGTTAACTTATGTCCAAGATAATAAATGCTCAATAACAGAAATAATGGGGGTGGGGTGGAGTGGAATGTGAACCCCCATTAACATGCCCCTTGTTCCAAACTATCATCCCAGAAAGTTTGGTTGAGATTGGCTCAGTGACCTAACAGTAGTTAGAGAATGGACAGACAGACACACAGATTTTTGTGCCTTGTATATGTATATATAGAAGATTACATATTATTCTGTCAATTTTCATTAAAATGAAACATAGTTACTTGGAATGTTCTGTCTTCAAAGTGTTCACTGTCTACCAGTCCACCAACAGCTTCTCCTTTTACATGATAATGAACTTTATTGACCTTAACAGATTCTTCTTCTTCAGGAAACCTCGCCTGCTCAGTACTTGATTCATTTTCTGTAATGTAAAAATATTAATAATAAAATTCACTTAAAAAGCATATAGCACTTTTTAGTTTCATGATATTCAATAATACTACCACATATTTGAAGTAATAATTCATTTTTTGTTAATTATTTACTTTAACTTATTCTTATTACATACTAAATACTTAACAATACAAATATTTACAACAAAACATAATAAAATATATTTTACAGTATGCAGCTGATTCTTTCCATATTATAAACATCTAGCTGTTCACCAAACAAGAATGTTTTAGTTCACATATGCAATGTAACAGTTTTTCACATTTTTTATGAAATTTAATCATTATAATGTACAAAATACTCACCTTTCTCACTATACAATTCTGCGTTACTTGTACTTTGGCTCTGCGTTTCACTGTGTTTAGATTCATCTTCTGATTGCTGACTGAGTTCATCTTCCTCCCTAAAACAGCATTGCACATATACAAATTTGGACTTTGATTAGTTTTGAAACAAAAGTAGTATGGTTGTCTGTGAATTTTCTATAATATAATTTTTTTCAATATTAGTTCATAAAAGAGCATGTATGATTACAACATTAAGAACATAAATATTCATCTGGTTGTTGGATATATTTCAATGACTTCAATAACAAAAAAACTAATTTCTCGTTTTTTAAAGTTGAAGAGAAGCATTCCCAGCCTTTAAACACCAGAAAATTAATTAGTACTTTTTTTCCAACTTTCTTGAAAAACCTTTGTATACATACTTCCAGCCACAAACTACCACCGATACTGTTACAATATTATCAATCACACATTTATCAATGTTTTAGTAGTGTTATAACCATAAGGGTAAAATGGTTGAAGCTGAAAATATTTGAAATTTTACATCAGAATCCTTTTTTTTTTCATTAACTGCAATAAATAACCTCTGACTTAACCACATAAAGTTTCAGTTGTTTGCTATGTAGGTAGGGTCCCCACCAAATCCAGAAAATCACAAGTTACAGGGATGGGTAATGTGCAATCTGCCAAGCATTTTGCTGCAGTAGGAAAGATTTTGCATGGTGTTAATTAATCAAGCAAAGCTGAATATAGTAAACAGCTTGCCAGTATTGTCTCCTGACCCTCTGCTATCGTACTTCCTCACATCTCTCTTTTTCATGACTAGAGACCTCTTCTGGAACATCTTTGGAAATTTTCAGTTGGTATGCATATCTTGTTCTTCACATCACCTTTTAACCTTGTACTTGCAACTGAGACTAGAGATAACATGACTTTCAAATGAATTTTTCTCTGCAGGAGGTGTATTGATGAGCACAAAAGTTGTATTGTTTGAAGCTTAAAAATACTAAATTATCATTGAAAGGAAATTCTAGTGTTTTTTATCATTTGAAGGGATATAGTGAGAATCAAAACATCCACTAATTTCTGTAAGAAACTTCCAATTTTAGGGTTAATAAATAATTTCAATCAACTTGTTTATTCATTAAGTGTTAAAAAAAATACATACGGTACTTAACTTGATAAGGCTTTTTTCAGTAAAATGTAAAAATAAGGATACATAAACTGATCCAAAATGGACACTTTAGAATAATAAATTATTTAATGAATTCACAAAAATACAAAAATAAAGATAACAACTAAACATAAAAAATTAACACAAAGCTTTCAGCACATGGTCTTCTTCCACTTGGTACCCTTTATATCTCTTCAAAAAGTTCCTTTAGATGTCTGAACATTTAAACAAACACTATTTAAAACTTCTTTTTTCATTCTTTTCTATTTAGGTATTGGATATTATTTTGATAAACTGATAAAAAAAATTATAATTTGCATTTAGCGGTGTTTTTGTTATTACTATTTTTATCTATTGGAGATTATATTTGTAAACTGATGAACAATTAATATTTATATCAGTTATTCTACTATAATTTTGCTGATTTCATAAGTTTTATTTTCTGTTAAAACTTCTTCCTAAAATTTTTCTTTCAACTTAATATTTACTTTTCCATGCTCTACTGTTAAACCGTCTGTTGTTTTTCTCACATTATTAACCTTCTTGGTGGTTATCCCAAGTCGGCCTCAGGGTAAGTAAGCTGAACAAAAATTGTTCACCCTCAGACAGTCTTGAGCTAAACTTTACGTTCTGGTTCTGTAAAATTTAGCCCGAGTATTTCTGCTAACTGTGTGTTACTGCCATCTACACACTATTGGATATCACTAAACATCATGGGTAGAGACAGTATACACACTCTTCTGTCCTTCTTGCAACTTTGGATTGTGTGCAGTGCCCTGCTTCAAGTATTATCACATCAAATCTAAATTCCAATCACAGAAAACTGATTACAGGTAAATACATATCAAGGTTTTTCTTTTTTAATTTTCATGAACTTACACTAAATTATTTTGCCGATGCTAGGACTGTCATACCAAAGAATTGCTGATTATTGCACTTGTGCAAGTTCATTTTATTTTTTACATATAAATAGTACAATGCAGGTAGGAATACAGGATTTTTAGGGGAAAAAAGGAGGTGTTCTGGCCGAAAACAGAGTATAGGTGATTTTGCCATTAGTTCTTAAAATTTCTCAACTTTTTAAAAAAAAAGTTACTCCCCAAAGGGGGATCTGGATCCCCTAAATCCACCCCTGCAGTACATGCAAGAAAATTATAAGTGGTTAATACCTGTTTTGTTAATATATATGACTGGTAAATTTAATTTAATTTCATAATAAGGGAACAGAAACTTTCGCAAAAAAAAGTAACACCTATGGTGCAAAAAATTCATAAACATAAGAATGCCAAGGAAGTTAACATTGTATGTATGTTATGCAGAACATGCCACTGGTTGCCAGATTGACCAATTTACCCCACAAACATGACTAACATTTCCTGTCTAGATAAATCAGTTCATTGTGTTTCATCAATAAATATTAAGTTTGAGCTCTTCTGTGTACTGCTGCTTAAAAACATTACAAAAATAACATAAAAATACTTATTCTTTTTTCTGACAAAACTTTCTGTAATGTAATTTTAAATTGAATAGTTATTTGATACAATAATATTATATTTGTGTTATTAGCCGTGGCATAGTGGCTCATGAAATGCCTCCGAGTTTTCTTCAAGTACAAAGTTTTAGCTCACAGCTTTGTCATCTCTTGACCGATTTGCGATCTAATTACAGTTTTGGACTCAGAAGGTCAAACCCTTTCAATTGAGGTATTTCACCACACCCAAGGTCTCATAGATTAATTTACTCTAATCCTGCCTAAAGGAATTTCAATTTGACAGTAGGTGTGTAAAAATCCTGATGAGTAATAAAATCACGTATATGCATGCCACATGCTTGGTATTGCTGGCACACAAAAATATAGCCAACAAAAATGATAAAAGGTCTCATTGATTTCAAGTGCCATGGCTATTGAAAATTCCCTCTTGTTTTTCTAATACTTCTGTTTACATAGAAGATTCTTACTAAATTAGTATTTTAACTATTTAAAGGCAAACTGACCGAGTGCCATATCTACTAAAGATAAGTAACACAGTTGAAACTGAAAAGAAAGTTTAAGTTATCTCAAATTCTTGTAGTAGGTTAATCCTCTAACAATAATATACTCATCTTCCACTTACTTAATGACAGTTGCTCGTTGGATATCCAACTTTTTGGAGAGTTCAGCAATGATGCTATGAAGTTCTGTTAACCGTTCCTCATACCTCTGAGCTTGCTGATCAAGCCGTTCTTCATGATCCCTAGCCAGCCTCATTCTGTCAAGCTGAAAAACAAAACTCAGGAAATATTTATATAATTTCACAAACCAACGTGCTAGAAAATAACTTTAAATGTCCAACTATGAATAATACTTTATTTTTCAGTTCACAAAGTCATGGAAACATCATTCAGTATATAGATATGCCACAATGAAAAACTATATTAATTTAAAACAACTACCACAGTAGTATTTAATTATTATGCAGAAATGAAACTTAAAACTAGTTAACTTTAAATTACTAATGACAAAGACTTTTGATCACCAATTAAATAATATGTCAAGAGGTTCAGCAGTACCATATGTGTTATGATATCACAATAAGTCTAATAATAATTCTAGTCACATCACTTTTTATTGCCCTGAAGAGCTCAAGTATTGAGAAACAGGTCTCATTGGCAGAGACATACAACAAATACAGTTGATATATAATTATACACTTTTCTCATTGTAAACCCGCACTGGGCAAGTAAAGAATAATGTGTGATTAATTATTGTATCACTACCAAATATCATGTTCCACCAGGTAAGTAATTCTACAACTTAACAATGGTCACTTAAAACATTTTTCATTTATTCCTTGGACCAAATTGTGCACCTAATCAATTCTCAACTGGTAAGACTAAAGCTACGCTTCAGCTGTTCCTTAATTACTAACTTAGTTAACTGTCAGTTTGCAAAATTATAAACCTGGTGTTGTTTGAATAAATAATTTTCATTTTGTTGGTCACATTTCAACTAAGTTTCTATCTAAGCTATCTTTGTTCTGCCAACCATGGATATTGAAACCCAATTTTTAGCATTTTAAGCCCTCAGATTTACTGCCGAACCATCAGGTAATATTCATATATTTGTTTTAATCACATTCAAATACAAAAAAAAATAAGCCTTAAAATCATTTATTTTAATGTCTATCTATCACTATTATATTTTAGAAAATTTTCAATCTTATGCTTTCTTCTGTATGAAAACCCTTGGCCTATTTCCCAAATCCTGGATGAAATCCCCACATTGCAAAACATGTTTAGTAGTTTGTGCCTTAGCTAAAGATTATGTATCCAAATCAAAATTATTATGAATTTTCTAATTGCTGGAAGTTACTCATGTTATATATATGTTGTTCTTTCTGATAAAAAAAATACATATATTTATGGAGGTTGAAAAAAATTTACTCACCTGTTGAAAAACTAAAGGCTTTAAAGATATTTAAACTTTACTAATAACTCTACTTACTTTTAGAAACAAAAATTTAAACCTGTTTCAGTAAACTACCCAACAGCTGTCTAAGTAAACAGTTTTTTAAGAATAGCTCTTCACTAAGATTCTTGAATGGGAGGAGTAGCTTATAGGATGAAAATAAAACAAACAAAATTCTATCATAATTTAAAATATTTACTAAATAATTTGATATAGGAACTACCTCTTATAAAGTTACAATTTTGTAGCCCCTTCTACTTTAGAACAATGTGTGCATCTTAAAATGGTGTGATAAATATAAAGTAAAATATGAACAAAGAAATAAACCACAATAACAACAAAATTAGCTGTACATTGACAACCTTCTATGTTGGTAATAACAAAAAGATTCTGCATTACACCAATGGATCTTTTCAACTTTATAGTAGGTAAGAGTGTCAAAATCTTAAGAAATGTTGCAGTTACAAAAAAAGCTGAGTCTGGCTATTTATTTTAAAATAACAATAAATCAATGTTTAAAGAGGAACTTTACCTTTTTATATCTTTTCTGTATGTGAAAGTATTATGTTTGCTTAATTTTAGGTATTTGTCCAAGAATATAATTATGTAACAACAACCTTAAAACAAGATGAAAAAAATGTGGGACTACTTACTGTCATATGTTTCATGGGTAACACCAAACATTAGGTTGTGCCTAAGTTCGCAAAGTACAAATTCTGATAGCCTATTCACCCATTCTGCTGCCCATGAGTTTAGAAGAGTGAATAAACAGTAGTGTTGTTCATAAAATATCAAGAAAGAAATCAACAAAATTGAACTTAGAAATCTGTGTCCCATTCTTAGATTATGTAGCCATTTCTTTGTTATTTCCATTTTTCTTGGGAACTGATGGAGATTTGGGAGATTGGTAAAAATATAACTCCTCATTATAATGTTAGATGTTAGTACACCTACATGCATTATATTTGGCTACATTTCTGAGCAGGTGTTTGGCTGTTAACTAATGGGACCAGTATATGGACAAGGCCATAGGTAGAGGCAGTCTAAATCTGCAGACAATGTAATTCCTCTGAAATCATTTTTAACAACTTGTGGGATTTTTTCATTAAAAAAAAAAGTGTTGAGAAACAGTAGGAAAAACACATTTCTCATATACTAATTTTTTTAAGTAATTGACTTGTTTCAGCACTCTTCTCCTGGAAACTACCCACTTAGTGACTTACATTTTGGCCAGGCATGGTCAGGTGGTTAGGGTGGTTGACCTAAGCCAGACAAATAAAATATCTCATAAAGATGATACTATAGACACAGCCCCAATACATCATTTAGCCAGACAAATCCCAGTTGCAAAACAGGTAAATGCTCTTAAAAAGATAAAAGCCATGAAAGAACAAGGAGTAACAGAACCAAGTGTACTAATCCTTGGGCATCAGCTATCATACTTGTGAAGAAGAATGGATTCATAAAGGATACCACTGCCAAGAATTGACTCTACTTTGGATGCTTTATAGGGATCAAAATGGTTTTCAACTTTGGATCTGAAAATTGGATACTGGCAAACCCAAGTCAACAGAAGAAATTGTAGAATAGATAGCTTTTATTGCAGTAAGAAGGTAGAAGCAATTTGTTGTATGCTACATTTCAACAACTAATGGAGTGTGTTCTCTCTGGAATACCCTGGAACATCATTCTCATCTACTTATATGACATAATCACACATGGGAAGGCTTTTGATCATGCATGTGACGGGCTAAGGAAAGTATTGAAGAAAGAGAACTTTAGGCTAAATATAAAGAAGTACAACCTGTTTTATAAATAGATGAGTCCCTGGGGACACATATTCAGTGGAGATGGATTATCTATAGACCCATCTAAGATTAAATTTCTTCAAAACTGGCCAATACTAAAGAAACTGTGTGATGCAAGAGGATTTTTTGGACTATATTCTTGCTATTGTCATTCTGTAAAATAATTCTCTGACCTAGCTTGCCTTCTACACAAATTACTTGAAAAAACACAACATGAAGTTTTGTTGGAGTACTGAACAAGCATTCAACTTTTTTGTTGGTGAATCATTTAATAGCCCAGGGCTGCCCTACCCTTGAACAGCAGTGGATGAAGGTCATGTGTATGATTAGCAACTGGTGACTAACATGGCTGTTGGTACGTAAAGCCAGGTTCTCCCCTTTTAAGACAGATTCTGGTAAAATGTTTAGACTTTGTAGATTTTATTATAATTTTGACTTTTTTGTTTTGGTTTTTGGTTTTCATTTCAATTTGTAAAATGTGATTTTGTTATATTATTTAAACTTTGAGATTGTTTTAAATGTGCAGTTTCACTTTGTTTTATTTTCCTTTACAGAAGGACTTACACTGGACTGGTGGAAGAAAGCTCACTGACCTTTCACTTCATCTCTTTTTTTCACCAGTCCAATAAACTCATTATAAACACATTGCCATTGTTTTGTTTTAGTGTATTGTGTTTATATCTGTCAGTTCTTTGCTATTAAAGATTGTAATTTTAAATTTTTGTTTTAACTCTTTCTTTAAGACGAACTTCACAAAATAATGAACATATTCTGTTACATGATATCTGTCAGACCTCCAATTAGTGGACCCTGTTCTTGCTCTGGTTTAAATCCATGTACTGGTGTATATCACATGTATAAATTCTTTTATACTTCATTCCTAATAGAATATGAATGTTTTAGCATCTTTTCTTAATAACAGCATTAACAAGAACATTCTGGAATTGTATTTCCTTATTCACAGAGCAAATGTTTTCATTTTTACTTTTATAAAACCTCAAAAATTCTGCTAACATTTTTTATTATTTACTAATTAAACCTACTTTCTGTTGATGTCTGTCTTTAAAGAAATGTTTGATAATATTTTTATTTTCTTTAGACCATAATTTAGTTACTGTCTTTTCATTGAATTATGCAGTAAAAATTCTGTTAATATTTTTCCTTAGCTAAAAAAAAAAGGAAAGATTCTCTTTAATATATTTCTCTACTAAAAAAATCATAACTTTTGTTATGTCTCTACTTCTTAAAAGATCATAAAGCTATGATTTGTTAATGTGTTTTCTCACTAAGATGGAATAAATTTTAATACATTTTTTTCCCCTTACAAACAGGACATAACTATAAGACCACAAATTATTTTGACTTTCTATGCTAATAGAGATTATAAATTTAGTTAAAGTTTTTCCTCGATAATGTAAAAATAAAAGATCTGTTAATGTTTTTTACTAGCACAACATAAACTTTCAACATGATACCTGAGCTCTGTTGACTTGCCTCTCTAGCATATCTCTTTCCTGACTCATATGCTGAACTCTCTGAGTGAGATCCAAGATTTCTCTTTTCAACGAAGCCAAAGCTGCCAGGTGAAGCTGTGTGATTAAACACAAAATAAAAGCTTATTTTGATATCTCAGGCTAATGCAAGCAATTTGTGATAAAACAAATATGTTCAATCTAATGAAACTTATTAGTTAACGATTGAAAAAGATGAACGACTATTTATCAAATCAAAATTTCATTTTACTTTGAAATTGTCCTTAACTTTCAATAATATATCAAATATATCAAAAAGTCAAGAATTTATTCTTCAAAATATTTTTTTCTTCCACAATTTTGAGTATGACCATTATGTCAATAATTTATTCCTTCTCTTCTCTTCGAATGTAGATATTTTTCTACATACACTAAAAGGACAACAATTTATGTACTGTATCTCAGCTAATTACTAAAGAGTTGCTAATAATTTTTCTTGATTAAGGGATTACACATAACTGATTTCTTACATGCAGTATGACATTTTTGTGAACTCAAATGTGTTTCAAACATTAATCAGAATAGGCATACACTATGTAACAAATATTTTGTTTCAGTGATACTTTAGACAGCCCAGACATTGTTGAGTTTAAATCTGTAATAGCCTGTTCCTGCTTTGTTACCCGAGTGGGATAACTTTTCCAACTCTCTGTTGAGGCCTTCCACAGTCTTAAAAAATTGTTACCACAGAGATTGAAATTTGTACTTGCTCAAGAAAGAAGGAAGGACACTACATTAGAAATCTAAATGATAAAAGGTTTAACATACCTTAAATGAATCAAGTTACACTATATGCTTACATATGCTATCAATGTGTTACTGAATTAAGTGAATTTTCTTCTTTTCTCACATCTTCTACATGCACATTTTACTTACTTTACATATCCAGAATAGAATATTTCACCTTATATAAAAATTATCATCTGGTGTGTGTGTATATATATGTATATATATAAACATATGCTATTTCACAATAATATTATATTTTATCATGTATTAAAACAACATTTTTAACAAATATCTTTATGTATAGATATACTAGTGTTGATAAACATTTCTATATAACTGAACAATATTACCTGGAATACTTGAAGTTTCTCATACACAAGTATATGTAATAGTTATATTAAAAAAAACTGTTTAATGTATGTACAATTTAAGTTATGAATATGCAAGTTAACCTATCACAAACACAAGAATGGAGAGTTCCTTCTATACTTAAGAGTTGTGTATTATTACAGTGGAAGCAAATTGCCCATCCTTTTAATTGGAATTTAGAAGACTTACAATGTTGCTATAGCAACCAGTTTAATCCTTTAGAATCTAGTATTACAGCTAATTAATTACATCTTCTACATCTCTCCCAACCACCCAAAGTTGCTATTATAACTTCAAACAAGTGGATATGTTTAATACAAACTTAGATTTTTAAGCGGAAGAAGAACAGTGATCAAACTGTATGCATTTGTCAAGAGCATTAAACTGTTGGAAAGTGTTAAAAGGATGATACCTGAAATGAAAAGGTTGTCATAGGAGGTCAGGTTAAGTCTCTTGTTTTCTCCTGAATAAAAAGAAGGAATTACAGAGAATCTCATTGAGGTGTGCAAGACTGTTAGGGGAACGAACAGTGTTGATGCATCATCTTTTCTCATATTTAATAGTGATAATGGTAGGATTAGAGGACACAAATACGACTCTTCCAGAGCATATATTTTCGTTATTCAATATTTGGATCCTGGATCCTTATAAAATGCTAAAGTTCTTATACAAAATAGACTGCAGTCACAAAATGTACACCTCAACCTCATCATAAAAAAAAAAGACCTTGTTTTCAGGTCTCATTACTTGCATATTATATTTTCCTTTGCTTTCATTCATGAGTTCTTAGAATTAATTTAAAAATCCTACCAATGGATATGACTAAGGCCTAATTATTCATTAACTTTTGAAACCATCAACCAAAATATGTTGAGGTAACTTTTACCTGATTCAATGCTAATCTATAAGTGTGACTTGCTGCTCTTTATAGAAAGACTTACTTGCTAGATAAAAAGTAGTCCTTTTTTCAAGAACACCAATATTCAATTCCGAATCTCAATAACAAAAAGAAGATAACTTAAGTTCTACAAACACGGAAGATCAAAAATACAATTCAAACAATTTCATACACCACACCAAACAATATTTTAGATGGCTGCTTCAGATTAAACCTAATCACACACACATAAAATATCCACACTGCCATGCCAACAGTATCCACACATGTAATCACAGACAAGGTCCTAGTGGTTGCTGTCTTAATAAAGTGTAGCACTGCTTTTAAGCTGAAAAGCTGCTGTTATACATGTGGGACATGCTTTAAACATGAATCTAACAGGGGTTTGGTGCAACTTGTCTCCATTGTTGTTACAGAGGCTGGACTAGCTGGTGATCATGACCAGAAGGCTGTGATCTAATCTTCCTTACTTTCTGTTTCAGATTATTACAACAATATTTCAGAGGATTCATATCTGGGCTCAAAATGGACCTTTTAAAGAAGTTGATTTTTTTTACTTTGAAACTACTCATGAGCCATGTATGATTTGAGGCAAGAGGCAATAACCTTCTAAAAAAGTATACTTGAGTAGATTAGCAGGAAACTCTATCATAGCCCCTGAAAAACATGTTAATTTAAGATCTCTTGAGATCCATGTACTTTTAGACTTGCGGACACTTCACAGTAATAACATCACTCTAACTGCAGAATACAGTCCACAATCTTTCACAATTAGCACAGCATAATCATGATTGAATAATTCACCTTGTTGCAGAACTTCAAAACTGAGAAGAACATTCCTTATCATTCCCAAAATTTTAAAACTATTATCAACATTTCAATTCTCAGGGGCTTTACATCAAGCAAACCTCTGATGAACATTCTTGTATGTGATATATAGTTTCAGTACCTCATCTATTTAAAGAAAGCATGCTGAAAAGACCTCATGAATGATGTTCTTCACATGTGGCAACATTAAAAGATGTAAATCCACTAACAATTTTTAAAAATTGTGATTCTCAGCATTTTGTCACAATCCTAGTAAGTAAGAGCTTGTTACAATCCAAAAGGACTTTGATTTATCTAATCAGGTTTATATATTAACTTCTATGTAAGAGTGCATAGTAATTTGTTAGAATGACCAAGCACTTTGTTCTAAGTTATATATCAATCTTCTACACTTACAGAAACCTATAATATTTCCTCTTTCAAATGCAAATAATTTGTAAAATCTTGGGATTTTAAACACTCTTTGGAATTATAATCTACCTCTCTGTATATTATCCTCACAGAGTTATCTTTTAGAGCTTACAAGTTCGAGAGGTGTCCCAATACTTTTAGCAGGACAGCATTTTGTTGATTTTCTTTTCCCGTTTGAGAATATGGTGTTTCTTGGCTTATGTTTACACTACCACCACATTTAGCTTTTTTTTTACTGTATACTTGTTAACTTCTTTGAGTGTTTTCCAGTTAATTATTAGATGATCATAACCACTTAGAAATAACCATTAGAGCTAGCAAGTTTAACAAAACATAAAAATCTGAAGAAAATTATTACACATCCAAATACTTTACCCACACTATTAGTATGTTATATTTCATTATAAGAAATAATAAGATTAATAATTTTTAAGAATATAATAATTCACACAACAATAGTACAAATTCAACACAGTGTTCTTATTTACTTAAAGATATATAATAGTGTTGTAACATATTCTATCATTGGGCAAGTTTTTTGGGGTTATTTTGCAACAATAATGGAAAGTGCTGTCCACATAATGATAACTTAATTTATTTCTCCAATAATATTTGCTACAGGCTAAGTGCACTTGTAATAATACCACAAACAATACTTCGATAGAAACTTCTAAACTAATTTTTGTCTAAACTCACAAATGAACTTACTATGTTACTTGTAGAATTTCCTTGCTAATTGATTGATAAAAAACATGCTAATTAACTCACTATATAGCTTATTAACTGAATCACAAAACTGAATAACTCACTGACTGGCATTGAACTGATTCACTTATTGATTACTCATTAACTCAATAATTCACTGAGTCTGGTATTGACATTGTACTCTTATTTCTACACACTAAACAAAATTTCTAGATTCCAAAGAGGCCTTAACTTTCATGAAATTTCTAGATATACATCATTATTACACAATGCTCTCTCTAACAAACAAACATTAAGTTAAAATATTAAAAAATATAGCTTACAATAATAATTATGCTTAATAATATAGCCCTAATCACACCCAAAAATCAGTTTTTCCCATTCACAAAAGAATAAGAAGTATGAACTGAGAACAATATTTTTAGCGCTTATATTCCTAAAGAATCGCTACAATGAAAGAATTGCACAAACCAGTTGCTTATTGCTACATTTTGTTCATTAACAACAAATTCTGAGATAAATGTAAATAGTTCTTCTTATAGCAGGCAGTAAGTGGACATTATTTCATTCTTCCTGTGATGCTATCATACACGTGTATTGTTTCTGGAAAAAATATTATCTAAATCCATATTTATCACAGCTGTGTTTTTTTTTTCTTCTTCTTCCAAAATTTTAATTTTGTTTATCTTGTGAAGAAATTTCAGATTTAAAGTAAATCCATGAAATTATACTTAACAAGACAAGTACCAAAAAATAAAGCAAACAAAAGTATCACTTTCATTCCTTTTCCTAGAATCTCCAGTGCGATTCAATAAAAAAATAAAAGATTTGGTTGATCGCCCCCAGAAGAAGAGAAACCTCTAACTTAGCACAGTTTTATTGATCCTATCTTACAGCAGTATTGACAAACCCTTTAAAGCATGGAAGAACACGTCTCCAAATGTGGATATTAAAAGTAAAACTACAGTTGGGCTTACGTATAACATAAGTACAGATAACCGATAAATATTAAACTCTGGACGAAACTGTTCAGAGTAAAACATTCGAAAAAACAACACAAAAAGAACATTAGGAAGGGTGTCTGGTAGTATGGTTCTATGTTGCTGTAGATTCACTG